AAGCCCATAGAAACATTCTATATAAGCATATCATTGATTCCATACTGAGGTTGGAGCTCATTTCGTGGTGAAATCTGAGATTACAGTTTAGATTTCAAGGGAGCAAGTGAGAATCGAATTTTCATTTCCAAGCAAGTTCAGAGCAAATTGAAGCCTCAAGTCTCTTCCTCTTGCATCACTGATCGTGTCTGGAGAGTTTTGAAGCAAGAAGCAAGATCTAGCTACCTCTGTTAGTGGATCTACACCAGGTTAGTAAATCTCAAATTTCCTCTTGATCTAGCATGATGTAGTTAGCAATGCATATGTGGTTAGGATCTAGTTGAGGAGTAGATCATTTCTGGACAGAATTTTGGACAATTAGAGACAAACTTAGGTGACATGTGATTTGTGTTTGAGCACGGTTTAACCTGATCTTAAGGCTAGAACATGATTTGGATAGATCAGAGGGATGTATGAAGCATGAGGAACAATCCTATGGTTTTAGATTTGGAATTGGTGATGATCAATTTGGATGTGATTTCTGAACTTTGATACGAATTTTGAAACCTGTTGAGAGTTAGGTGATTTGGATAGGAGATTCGTGATCTACGTGAAATTTTGAGTGGAATTGATATAAGGTTTGCAATTTCTGGTTGCCTGGAAGTGACTCTCACCGGAGAAGACGATTGTTTCCACCATGAGAGTCACGGAGACTGTTCCCCCTCGCCTGAGTTCCAAGGATGAAGACAACTCGTGAGCCATCATATCTTGTTGAAGATGGACTTTGTATGCGCATCGTGTGGTGGAGATTTAAACTGAAGTTTGCCTCTAAGGGACAAAACGCGGCGTTTCATTAATCCCAGTCAGTGTGTGACTGGGATGCTCACGTGGACGTGCTCAATGCCTTTGGATCAGATTACCTTGTCAACACCATCCAACGCGCGTGGTTTTATTCAGCATTTTATTTTCTTTTAATCATTTTTGGATTTATTTTTAATGCTTATTGGTTTCAAAAATCACAATAAATCCATTTTTGATCCAAAAAATATTTTAAAAATATCTCCATGCTCCTGATTAAATTTGTGATTTCCTGGAATCAATAAAATGCATTTTCATGCATTTTTCAATTTTATTTGATTTTTCTCATTTTGTTTATTTCTTTAATTTTTGCATAATTGTTCATCTGTTTTGTTGATTTTTGTGTGATCTTTTGGTATTGAATCTGGCTTTAATTTTTGAGTATGTTGATGGTTAGATATGCATGCTCCATTAGGAATTTTATTAGATTTTTTAGACAATTATAGGTTCTGTTTTAGGTGAGATGTTTAGAGCCTTCCCAAACTTGTGGTTTACCTTGACATATCTCAACTTAGGAATTTTTTAGTGGACCTAGAAGTTGATTTAGGATTTAATATTTGAACCCTAGAATGTTAAAACATGTATGTTCCCCTAGGAAATTTATTAGATTTTTACAACTTAGTTTTCTATTTTAGGTAGAATTTGCAAGTTGGTTGTGCATGTGGTGTTCCATCTTTGGCGCCTTGCTTTGTTTGGTCTTGTTGGTGGCTTTGGAGCTTGAAGTGCTTGGATTCCTTTTTGGAGGAGCTTCTGAACATCTTTTAGATGCTGTGGCTTGGCTTATGGAGCTTGGAGTGGAGATTTCCTTCTCTTTTAGGAGCTTTTTAGGAGCTTATAAGATTAGGGTTTTAGGAAGAGCCATTAGAACTAGTCTTTCTTCTTTCATCAAACATAGAATGCATTGTTTGCTTCTATTCTATCCTATGATGCAAAGTCCTCTTAGGGAAGCTGCATCTCTCCTTTGGAGGGATGTGTGGCATGCCCTAATGAGTAGAACTTTTGAGGATGCACTTCCATTTATATGTGGGTTCCTGATGAATTCCTTTGGTCTTCATCAGGTTTCTCTTCATTGTAACTTGATTTCAATGATGATTCTCTTCTTGGAGTGTGCTTGCTAGAACTTGAAGATGAAGATTGAAGAAGCTTGAAGATAGGAGCTAGCTTGAAGATGAAGCCATTTGCTGTCAACTTTGCTGTCAAGAGGTTTGCTGTTTAGAGCTGTTGTTGAGTATTGAAGATGTTGTCTGTAGAAGATTGTTGCTGCTGCTTGGGCTGCTTCCTCTGTTTTTTCTTTTACTGTACTGTCTGTTTGTGCATCTTACCTTTAGGCTTGAGGTGAAGCTTGTCTTCCCTTGCCTGTTGTTTTCTTAGGTTTGAGGTAGAGCAGGACTCCATTGCCTCGCTTGTACTGTTGCATTGCATGCATTTTACTGTTTACTGTTTATTTCTTGGTTTCTTTTGCTGTTATCTCCTAGGATCTCTGATTTCCTCTGTGCAAGAGGAACATACATTAGGTTTTGACCCATGCATAATAACATTAGGTTAGTTTCCCTTTCAAACCCTAGGCTTTTTAGAGCGTCTTTCTCTTCTCATCTCAAAACAATTCAAAAACACAGTAATAAGGTTAATTGAAGTTATACGTTACGAGCCTTAAGCTATCTGGTAAAAGGTTGGTGAAGGGTCTCTCTCCAGTAATCTGGATGTTTAGTGTGGTACCCTTTGGGTGACATGCGACGCATTCACTCCTAGGTCATAGTCTCTAGTGCGACAGAGATTGCAAACATCCTAAAAAACAGTTCTTGCGTAAAAGACTGAAAACAAACAATCAAACTCTTTTTGTCCTCTTGGACCCTTAATCGGAAAACCCTTTCATAAGGAGATAAAAACTGTCAGACAAGCTTGTGTCTTCCGTAAGCCGAACTACGTTTGCTCTGATCTTTCATGCCGTATGAAAGTACGTAGGCATAGGATGCGATATCCTAGCGAGCAACCTTTCCCTCTTTTCTGTAGTTAGGCGAACTACGTTGACTCTGATTTCTTGTTTCAGACGGGAATACGTAGGCATAGAATTGTTGTGTTATGCCGAGTCACTTTTCTTTTCTTTTGTCCCTAAGCCTGTAGAGTAGATATATAAATACACCCTTAGATAGAAAACAAGCGTGGATCCCGTCGAGTACGACAGACGTGAGGGGTGCTAATACCTTCCCCTTGCGTAACCGACTCCCGAATCCAGGATTTGGTTGCGATGACCATTCCTTTCCCTTTTGCGTTAGGTTTACTCTGAGCGTTTCCTTTCCCTCCTTTGGGATAAATAACGCACGGTGGCGACTCTTCTGTCATTGCCGACGTCGATTTTCGCAGTAGCGACACCAATGTCTGTTCGGGATGAGTGAAACTCATAACTTAGTAAGTATTGGTTCAAATCGTAAGATACCTATATCTGAAACCATGATATTTTCAGAATTATGAGATTTAGTTATTTTGAAAATGGTGGGGGATTGTAAGAGAATTTTCAAAATAATATTAAATAGAATGATTGTATTATTTGAATTAATAATATAAATATTATATTTGGACTTTTTCATCTCTTGTAATCCAAAATGATGCAATACAATATTTTAAGAGATACATTTGTTCCCAAACATAATATAGCATCATTATAAATTGAATGTTTCTTGACACTATGAAACACACAAAAAAACACAATCTGTCTCAAACTATTTTCTCACTCTAAATTATCTTTTTCTTCTCTAATGCATGAGAGCAAGTAAAAGAAATATTCTTCTATAAAATACTATCAAAGATACGCTTAGAGAGACTGTGCAATTCTCTTTAAAAATTCCAAAGTATCCTGCAGGAAATTCGCCGGTAAAGCCGTTTGCATCCAACATACCAAGATTGGTGGGGGCGAATTATTTCTTAAACTTAGTGCGAAAACATACGCTTTGGAAGTTTATCAAAAAAATTTATTTCTCTATTTTTATTTCCATTAATTCTTAGTTTTGCAGCAGTACCAAAGACTAAATATCTAACAAAGATTAGCCTCCTCCTCCTTTTAGCAATTGAAACAAGTGTGCCCTTGTAATTATAACTATTTGTATCCATTGTTGAATTATTAGCTGCATAACAACATTGCGTGTATCACATGAGTTGACATAAAGAACATGTTAAATGAGCAGCAAGGAAAATGCTTCAACATATTAAGGCATTTGATGTATTAATAAAGAAACTTCATGGTGGAAAAACAAATCACAAACTTGGACAACTGATGATGCAGCAGAAACATCTAAGGTAATTCAAACGTGTAGCATAAATCCTGAAGTTGGTTTGAGAGTAGAAATTCAAAGATTTAGTTCTCATGCAGTTTATAAATACCATTATGAATAAATCTAACAGCACTGCGTTTTCACATGATGTTGATATAAAGAACTTGTTAAATGAGCAACAAGGAAAATGCTTCAACATATTAAGGTATTTGATGTTGTAAAAAAGAAACTTGATGGTGGAAAGAATAATCACAAACCTGGATAGCTTATGTTGCAGTATAAAGGTCTAAGTTAGTTCAAATGTGTACAAACCTGGATAGCTTATGTTGCAGTATAAAGGTCTAAGTTAGTTCAAATGTGTAGGCCTTGGTTGTTATGCTTTGAATGAGGTTGAATGATTGTAAAACTCAAAAACAATGACCTTTTAAGAAAACATTTGAAAGTAAAAGAAATCAAAGATACTTGAAGAACCATGCTTATAACCTTGCTAGACTACCCAAACAAGAAAAGGTGGTTGGGTGCAAATGGATGAAAGTGACAAAATTAAGATTCAAAGTGAAATTTGAATTTGATCAAAGTTGTTGAATGATATTTTAACTTAAAGAAAGCAACAAAATTGTTTATGGTTAAATTGTTTTCATCATCGATTTTAAATTATGGTCTAGATACTTAATTTCATATATCTAAATTAAAATAAATATTACAATGTGATTTGATTTTTAGAACGTTAAACCAAATTTTACATCTTCTAATGTCTCATAAGTTTATCATAAAAAAGTAAAAATAATCAGCCTCTTATAACTTTGTTTTCCTAAAATCGAAATCAAAACGAAAGGAACAAGGTTGGAATTGTGGACGTGGTTTAAATTAAACTAAACAAAAACTTTAACGTATGGTATGGCTTCAACAACCACTAGAATGGTGAAGGGGATTTTGCTATTACACCTCTCTCCCACACCCCCCTCCTCTTTCTTTCGCCTCACTCGCGACCTTTCTCGCCCTTTTTTCCTCCCCTCTCTTCAATTAAAGCCTTCGCACCCCGCCACTGCAATTCGATGCGCTTCCTCAGCTTCAGATTCTGGGAACAAAGTTTCCTCTCGGTTATCACAGGTTCAGCAGCTTATCCAAGAAGCCGAACATCGATCTCTCTCCGCCGATAACAATGGCCCCATTCCTAAAATCACTTTGGGTCAGTTATTTAGTTTTTTCATCAATTTTCTCATTCTATCACTATATTCTGCAAGATAAAGTTTTGATTTTGATTTGCTTATTTATTTGGTTTCAGATCATGTTACCGTGAGCTTTGCTAGAAGTGGAGGACCTGGGGGTCAGAATGTCAATAAAGGTGTTTTATTGTTTCACCGTAACTTGTTATTTATTTATTTTCTGTTTCATAGTGCTACAAATTACACAACTACATGAGTTTAGTATGGTGTTTAATGTAAGTTTACAGACTCTAAGAACATGTGTAATACTTTGTTTTATATATGATGTTGGGGTTCATTAGTATGGTGCTGTTTGTAATGTGATACTTTCTGATTGGGCAGTGAACACCAAGGTCGACATGCGGTTCAATGTTAGAAATGCGTATTGGCTAAGTGAATGGGTCAGGGAGAAGATTTTGCAAATGGTTTGTGTTAGATGATCTTTTATCTTCATTACCAAGTCATGCGATTAACTGTTTGTTTGTTTGATATCAAAATATTCATAATCTTTTGAAATGTTTCATGAGTCATGACATGGAATTGGAGCTTCTGTTACCAAGTATTCTAGAGTTTATCCTATTTGCTAAATATTAGTTAATTTTCAGTACAAAATAAGTGGGTTTGTGTATTGTACATGCTTCAAGCCAAACCCAAAATACTCTTGAGCTCATCCATTCTACTACTCGATAAATATTTGTAAGTTAATAGAGACTTTTCCATAGGTAAAGAATCATAAGTATATTGTAATTGAAAAACTCCCATAAGTTAGAAGCCCATCCAAACTGCACCATAGTTGGCTCATGACACTTTTTACATAAGCCTTAACTTCGTATTGTTGCCATTATTTATAGGAAACACCTAATATTGTTATGTACTTGTTTGTATTTTTTTTTTAACTAGATATGTGTATATCTAGTTGGGCTTAAATTGCGCGTTACATGCACTGATCGTCTACCTTATATTTTTAACAATCTTGAATTGTATTGATCCTGTGCAGGAGAAAAACCGCATTAACAAGGATGGAGAGCTTGTGGTTTCTTCAACCAAAACTAGAACACAGAAGTTTGCATCTTCCCTTCTGTTATTTTGTTTGACCTTTTTCCTTATGTGCTGTAAGTAAGAGGCCTTATTTTACCATTTTTTTCTTCAGGGGTAATATTGATGATGCTTTGGCAAAGCTTCAGGTATATAAAATTGTTTAGCATGCTTTGTTATACATGTTATTTTACAAAAATCATATCTCCTAAAAGCTTAAATATTTCAGTGAGACCTAAGAATGGGTTTGTTATAGGATATTTATCATTTCTTGGTAGTTAAGGAAATTATTATTATGTTTATAGCTCTTTAGTCTTGTTCGCCTACATAATGGTAGCACCTTAAAATGAAATCTTCTGGTGTGAAACAGTATCTGTGAAGTCTTGTCAGCTATATAAGAAAAGCTTTTACTTTCTGGTTGTACTGGATTCTAGTACTTCTTATTCTTCTTTGGTGGTGGCGGGATTGGGAGGATTTTGTTTACTGAAATGTGGTGTTTGCAAAATAATCCTTAATCTTGATAGCTACGAAACTAGGCGAAAATATCAGCTTAGGATAGTGAAATGGTGATAGACAGATCTCACTCATTTTCTGCACTATCGTGCATCCAGTCAAGGTAAATCCAACTCCAAGAGTTTTGGTGCTGAATATTTTTGTGGTTGAATAATTCTTGGAGGACTACGTAAATTGGTTCATTCCCCCGCACCTTCTTTATTGGTTGTCTATTCCTTTTTCTGTTGAGTTGGTTGACTACAACGTCCTCCTTATAAAGTCCAAACTGTACTTGTTTGGAACCAGCCAACGATTGATGTGGAGAAAAATGAGCTGTGGTGACTTTTAGATACTGGGTTTGGGCCTTAGGATAACAAATGGGCCACATAGAGCACTGGTTACGATTTGCTTACTTGACCAATCAGTTAGGGAGGAAATATAATCATATTAAGGAGAAGGGTAGCAAGGGGAGAGGGCATTTATTAAGTTTTCTATTAGGAACCTTATGAGTTTGGCAGAGTGAAAAGGTATGCGATCAGAAATGAAGAATTGTGGTTTTTGAAGTGGGAGGATGGGCATTCCTTAAGCTGAGCCCCCCACCCCCCCACCCCCCACCCCCCACCCACCCACACACACACACACACAGAGACAGCGGTCAGTAGCCAAAAGAATAAATAAAAAATTAACTCCCAAGATATTTGGACTTCCCCATTGTGGCTACGGTAGGGTCTGTATTGCATAAAAGGAAACTCCTTGATGCTGCCAGAGTTCATCCTGTGTTCCACATATCACAATTGAAAAAAGTTATTGGAAATTATGCAGTTGAGACCTCTCTGCCAGAAGGTTTGGAGGTTGATGAGATGGAGGAGCCTGAAGAGGCACTGGCCTCCAGATAAGTACAACGAGCTGGACAGAAGGTAAGACAATGGTTAGTTAAATGGACAGGCTGGAATGCAGAGGATACCACTTGGGAAGACGAGGAGCTTCTGCAGAGTCAATTCCCTAATGTCAGTCTTGAGGAAAAGGATGTAGTTGCCGGGGGAGGCAATGATAGGACACCGGGACCTCACACCTGTGTTGCCGAACCAATCATTCGGGCCAGTACACATAGGCCCGGCTTCTGGAAGGTTTACACAAGGAAGAATGTGCGGTTTACACTGATTCCGTGTTATTCAGTTATAGGAGAGAGGGGTAACAGGTTAGTGCCATTCATTCAGGAAGATTGTTGTTGAGTTGGTTAGGAAAGAATATCTCCATGAATAGGAGTCACTGACTCTAGATTACATTCCCTTCATTGTTAAGCTTTAATGCTCACCATTTTCATTAAATAATGATACACACATTTCGCTCATCTGATTTTGAAGTTTCTATCATTATGCGGAATTTAACATATGAGAAATCTTATAAGCATTTCAATCATTTCCATAAAGAAAACTGATAGCATAGCTTACTCTAGCACTCTTTCCAACTCTTCACTCCTATTGGATGAAATTCATGCAATTCCCACCACTTTAAGCGGGATCCGTTCCCAAAATGATGAGATCCACATTAATTTTATCTAGTAACTCTTGAAAATACAACGTTAGAGTGAACGTTGTGGATACTTCTTTTTCCTTAAAAGTTAACATTATACAGAATCCCTTGTGATTAGTCCCATATAGGATATGATGGGTCGTTTTGGAGTATTAGACTTCAGTTGTCTACCCTTTCTTCCCCTTTCCCCCTTTTCAACTACAGCCTTAAGCATGTTCACTTTATATTCCCAAAAAAAATAAATAACAATGGTGCTTTTCTGTTTGTTTTATTGGGAAAAAATAGGAAATCATTGATGCAGCGTCTTATGTCCCACCACCTCCCTCAGAAGAGCAAAAGAAGAAAATCGCAAAGTTGTAAGAGCGCTCCCCTTTTAATATCTTATTTTTATTCTCCAGGTTAATTACAGTCTGTTATTTGGCCATCATTTTTCTTGGCGTATCGGTTAACATTAGAGTTCGTACTGAAGGGCATGTTTTGGAACTGAACTGATAAATGAAGTGTGCACTTTTGAAGGGCTGCTATAGGAGAGCACAAACGCCTCAAAAGTAAGAAAGTGCAATCAGATAAGAAGGCGCAAAGAAGAAATAAAAGTAGTTGGGACTAATGTATTGATTTTCCAGAATCTTTAAACTATTTATCATATTAGTAAGTCCACGATAATTGACAACTCGAGATTCATTTATTTATCAAATCTGCTATTGCTAGAAAAAATTATCATTCTCAATTACTAACGTGTTTCTTGAATCTCTGGACTGCAGGGTATAAAAGCACAACCCTCTGATACAACCATAATCGAATACATACACATCAGATGAATGGTTGAAGAAAACCAAGTCAAAAACATTAATCAACCGGAAGGATATTTTCAAAGTGTTTTATGGCTGTATAGTGTTGTTCAAAATTGTAACGTAGCTACGATTTAATGCAACAGAAAATTTTCTAATTGAATTGTAATATTATGTTGCTTTTATCAAGAATGTTTCTTTGTCATCTACTCATCTTAATCTCTTTTTTGGGAGCTGGAAATTCTAGGCCATTGGCACGTGTCTTGAGATAGAAGTGAAGGTCAACAAACCGGAGAATGCATCCATTTTGGTAGTTGGGAAAGTTGGTCCATATTTACTTCTACTACTAGTTTGGATAAGATTAACTCAAAGGGAAGTATGTTTCGGATGGTGTGAAGGAAATCAATTTCACCAACAGTTGGTAATACCTTGCTTTTCTTTGCTGATGCTAGTTCTTTGAATAATCAAGTAGACTTTTTATTTTGATATAGCTATTTTTTAATGGATTTCTTAATGTACCTCATATATTTATTACTTAGTCATCCGCTCCATTTAAATGCTTCTCTTGAATTAAGAGAGAGTAAATGACATTTAGAATAAACTATGTGTTTTGAAAAATCCTATAGAGATATTATTATATATAGAAAAATTATAATTAATTAAATGATATAGTCAATGTGAGATTATTCTATATACAAATATTCTTAACATTATTTACAAATATCAACACTTTTTCTCAAGTTTGAGCATATAAGTCAAATGCATCAAGTTTTTATATATATAATTGATTTTGGGTCTCTGCAAGAATTTTGTAAACACGTCTGTCAATTGATCATTAGAGTTGACAAAGGCTGTGGTGATGTCGCCTGACTCGATCTTCACTCTGACAAAGTGACAGTCCATCTCAACATGTTTGGTCATTTCATGGAAGACTGGATTTGAAGCAATGTGCAATGCAGTTTGATTATCACAAATAAGTGTCTTTGGTCTTCTTCAATTTGAAGTTCCTTGAGTAACTGTTTTAACTAAATAAATTCACATGTTGTCATTGCCATGACACTGTCTCGACGCTTGATCTTGCAATTACATTTTGTTTCTTACTTTTTCAAGATATAAGGTTTTCTCTAACAAGTACACAATACCTAGAGGTGGATCGTCTGTAAATGGGTGACCTTACCCAATCAGCATTGAAGTATCTAACTATCTGGATATGTACTTTATCCTCATACACAAGACCTTTTCCTGGAGCACATTTGATGTATCTCAGAATCCGGATAACAACATTCATGTGTTCCTGACAAGGAAAATTTAAGAACTGACTTACCACACTGACTGCAAAAGAAATGTCCAGACGAATGACTGAGATAATTCAACTTTTCAACCAATCTCCTATACCTTCCTGGGTCAGATAGAGGCTCCCTCTAATTGGTTAGTAGTTTGACACTTGGATCCACAGGAGTATTAGTTGGTTTAGCATTTAAAAAACTCGTTTCTTCCAAAATATCCATAGCATATTTCTGCTGAAAAATCACCAAACCATCTTTAGATTGTGCTACTTCAATACTCAAGAAATAACAGAGTTTACCAAGATCTTTTGTCTAAAATTGTTTCGAGAAATGTTGTTCAACTGGAGTATTTCCTATTGATCACTACCAGTTATGACAATGTCATCTACGTACACAATAAGATAAATACACCCTTGGACTGAGTGATGATAAAAAACAGAATGACCAACTTCATTACAGACCATACCAAACTGTTGTACTACAGTGCTGAATCTGCCAAACCAAGCTCTTAGAGATTACTTAAGACCATAAAGAGACATGTGTAGCCTACAAATCATATTCGATGACTCCCACTGAGCAACAAACCTAGGTGGTTGCTCCATATATACTTCCTCTTCAAGATCACCATGTAAGAATGCATTTTTGATGTCAAGTTGATTAAAGGGCCAATGTCGAATGACTGCAATGGATAGAAGAAGTATAACAGATGCCATCTTGGCTACAGGCGAAAAGGTATCACTATAGTCCAACCAAAATGTCCGAGTGTATCCTTTGGCTACGAAGCGACCTTTAAATTGATCAATCTTACCATCTGAACCAACCTTCGTTGTATAAAGCCAATGGCAACCTGCTATTTTTTTCCTAGGGGGTAGAGGAACTAGTTCCCAGGTACCATTGCTTTAAAGAACACAAATTTCATCAATCATTGCTTACCTCCACTCAGGGTGAGATAATGTTTCACCTTTAGTTTTAGGAATAGAAACAGAAGACAAAAAAGACAAACAAGTATACTGCATAAGGGAAAGACGATGGTAACGTAAATCAATATAATGTGGAAAAGGATTTCGTGTTTGATGTATACCTTCTCAAAGGGCGATTGGAAGATCAAACTCAGGTTGTAGAATAGGACCCGATGATGGCGAGAGCGTCGGAGAAGAGTCTGTATTGCCCTCAGGGATAGGTACGATAGACGTTGCGTGACGATGCTGATATGTTTGAAATGGGTGAGAAGTGTGTGTGTGTGTGTGTGGGGGGGGGGGGGGGGGGTCAACCGTAGGGGTATCTAGTGATGAGAGGCAAACTAGAGTGATGACACGGTTTGCAAAAAAAAATCTCACCGGAAGACAGTGGGTCAACCGCGTAAAGCACAATGAAAAAAAGAAAAAAAATTGCCTTTTAGTAGGCTCATACCATATTGAATTAGGAGAGACTAAGAGACATTTAAAATAAACCGCGTGTTTTAAAAAGTACTAAGGAGAAATTATTATATATAGAGAGATTACAACTAATTACATGATATAGTCGATGTGAGACTATTCTATATATAAATATTCTTAACACTATATATTTACAAATATCAACAGCTTTTAGATTTCGAAGATGCATCTCTGGGCGGACCTTGATACGTTAAATGATATGGAAATGCATCTCCGTTATATTTTAAAAGTCATACACCATATATTAACTCTGATAGGCATTTGACACACATATTGTACCAGAGATGCATTTTCGTTTATTTTACGGATATACATCTCTATAACCTATCAGAACAAAATAGTTTGTGTGATGTTTTGTTTATGTTTACTCAGATGAAGATTTATAAGCATTATGTGTCATGTTATGTGATGAGATTCAAATGATACAACTGATATGTAAAAAATGACGTATATAAATCCAGATGAACCAAAAATGTCATATAAATAAAATAAAAAACAAACATAAAATATCATGAGGTGAAAATAAAATACAACCCATAATGAATCCAAAGTATAACTATTATATACTACTGCACTACTGTGTATGTCAGGCTACAACTCCTCTGCCTCCTCGGCCATCAATCCCCCTGCTATTCGGCGTTGTATCTGGTACGTCAATGTCCCTCGTGCCTCAGTCATGATGGCGTCTAGGACTTGCTTCACATAAGACCCATTAGAGAAGATACCTCTGTCAATGTCTATATATGTAATTTTCATTATGTGACGACATCTGGGAAATACATCCTCAACATGATCTAATTGTGCCTGCTCCTTCTCTTGTATCTCCTGATGAGCTGATCTTGACGGATCTCTTGGAGTAGCCTGCACCATGTATGTAAGTGACACCTTGAAAGACCACCCGATGTACCCGTCGACGTAGCTCCATTCGCTCTCAACTATGGTACTCTCTGCCTCTTTCGGTACCAGATGACTCTCATAATCATCAAACATATCATCCATCTATCTAAGTGTCAAAGTATGATGAGCATAAACAACAAGGTGTATGAGAATGATCTGAGTGTAGCCGAATTTCCGCATCACACGCTCGGGCATATGAGGAGTAGTGAGACGTGATCCGTAAGCAAACCATCATGAGTATACCACTATCTCGTCAGATGGTCGTGTCTCACGATGATCCACGAAGTTGTTGAAGTGCATGTCCTCGGCAACCAAGTGGTTAAAAGACGCTCTGAACGACTCTATCACATGGTTCCCTATGAGTGGGACAAATGCAATAGCATGCAACATATCCTCAGTGTAAGTCGGTACACCTGCCCAGCCGGAGATGCGCAGGATGTGCTGGAGGATCCAGATCTGAAAAGTTTGGAACACACGATTCATCATTAATGGCGTTTCAAAGATGAGATGAAAATGAACAAAAACATTAAAAGACAAATAAGTATTACCGTCAGTAGTGTGATGTTGTTGGTGACCTGTTACGTCTTCCACCTACAACCCTCAAATAACTTTGAGTACAGATAGACCAAACAAGCGGCCCCTAGTTGTACTCATGGATCCACTCGAAATCCTCGAAGTATCGCAGGTAGACGACATCTGTATAAATGGCACTCTTGTACACAAAAATAGCAGTGCCAACTAAATATAGCAGATATGATCTCATAACATACACTCTATGGAGCCTCACTTGCTCGTCATCCCCTACAACTTGTTGTACTCTAACCATCTCATCTTTGTATACCTTTTTCAGGAATTCAAACTTAGCATGAGCCCCCTGGTTCTATCTATCTCCATCATCGTAGCCTCTAGGTCAATTCCTAGATAGTCTATCATCATCTCGAGTGTCCCATCTTTTCTAATACTCTCATGATCTAGAAGTTTCTTCCTAATCGGAAGATGTAGCAAACACGACACATCGTCGAGTGTGATAGACATATCACCAAGCAGAAGATGAAATAATGAGGTCTCAGTGTGTCGTCTCTCCACAAATTCATCAAGAATCCCGTGGTTGACCGTAATATAATCAATCATGCACAAGTCTTTCATCCCAGATATGGACAAAGCTGTCTGAAACCACTCCTCATTCGGCTAAGGCAAACT